ACAACTTCTTACGTTGCCCTGAGGCCCGGTTGGAACCTCTAGGAAAGAAGGTTGCGCCCAAAGCCCGTTGTTGCCTCCAACTGCGCGGCGGCCTTGTCCGTGGCGGCTACAACAACAACAACAACAACGACAACGACAACGACAACGTAGCATACTTAAACGGTACATGTAAGGAGGTCAGCAACGAAATAAGCAGGAGGAAAAACCGAAAAATATAATATGACATAGGCGAAGTAGTTATATACAGGGAGTACCAAAAAACAAAGGTATATAAATTTCCAGTGAATTTTAAATACATGATATCTGATATTAAAGGCGATAAGGTGAAACTGAGAGAGGATCATGAAGGGCATACCATTGATGCTTTAAGGAAGCACTTTATATTCAACTACTGTTCTACCTGCCACAGTGTGCAAGGTTCAAGCATAGACTGGCAAAGACATGGGTACAACAATCCTTGATGATCAGCATTTAAAAAGTTCTAGGGAATAGAGATGGACAGCAATTACGAGAACAACTGATTTAAACAAAGTCCTGTTTTGCAAGTATAATGATGACAAGGATACTACCTTGAATAAGCAATGCATCTTTAACTATTCAGTGCGGAAGGTGCAGAACTACAAGGAACAGGACAGGGCAGGTAAACGGAAAATGCACCATAAGAACTACATAGCTGCCCGGTGGTTCTTGGTTAGGTTGGGGGGTTTCTGTGAAAAGTGTAGCGCAGACTTTTGTATTAACTTGAAAAGCGGAACATAACGACAAATTTACAGCTCAACGGAAACAATGAGCAAACACATACCATAAGCAACTGCATAGCATACTGCAAAATGCCACTGCGGTGCAAGTGATAAAGAATAATTCTGAATACCAAATAGAAGAGATACACAACAAAACATTTACACTATTTTCAAGCAACACAAGAAAGACAAAATATACAACATATCAAAACAAAAGACAGGCGTGTCTAACAAAACTAGAAAGCCGAGAAATAGCAAACCCAAAACCGACAACAATGGAATATTACGAAATCACGAAGGAGGGCGACATCTGTGTATGAACAAAAGCTTGAAAAGTTTTAACAAATATCTGGCCTTATAATATTTGAGCGTTCATAACGAGCTTTTTGAGATATAATACAGAATAGCAAACCACGAACTGAAAAAGTTGGAAATAATGAAAAAAACAAGAACCGAAAACAATGAAATGTTAAAAGAAAAGACCACGCCGACAGAAGAAGACACCAATATTTAGACGAAGAAACGGATTTTTTGGATGAGCAAATTTCAATGCAAAAGGAAATAATCAAATCGTTTCAGGCGACTGACATGTATTGCGAAAAATCTACTCAACAAGAAAGAATGTGTAGTAGAATTATCAACTTCACAAATCATGAATTACCTATTAAGGAGTTCGGGCGCAGTTCGGAAAGTTGACTTGAAACTCAGATTTCGGAAGTTTTGATATATGTTTGGTTCAATTGCGTAGGGTAGGGATGTCAAAATCGGTGATTCTAGAAAAAAAATGTTCAAAATATGCAGGGTGGGATACAGGGATTTATCAGTTGCGGCGTTGGGGCGAGGCATGGGAAACATCGGGCGCCTACCCCTAGCTATAATCAGCCCCTGCGAGGACGTCTACATCCGCATGGATGTTCACCCTGTGGATCCCGGTGGTCCACAGGGTCTTCTAAGCCCAAAGCCGGCCCTACCAGACGCACAGCTAACCAGCCACAACATTGCCTCTCGGCCACTGACCGCAGCCTTCTGTGAGAGAGTGTCAGGGTGCTGTCCCGCGTCGCTCCCCGAAGGGTTCAACGTCAGGTCAGCACTCGCTATGACACTTCACAGACAAGCTGGTCAGAAACCATTTGGGGTATACTTTTCAAAGCATGCTTCTGGGCCTGCTTTTGCTTCATCTGTTCTTGCTTCTGCCTCAGGGCTTTCCGATTACGTGCCAAGAAAGCCCCGAGGGAAGTCGCTGCGCCTCAGCTCTTCCGCTTGCTTCAGCAGCCTCGCCTTCCTCTCCAGCCTCGCACCGGGAGGCTGAGGGCCGAGGGCTGAGAAGCGAGGGCCGCGAGGGGTCTGCGTGCGGAGGCCCTCCGTCCGCGCCTTGCGTCACCGCCAGCGCCAGCGCCGGCACCGGCAGCGTCCGGGCCGGGGACGCCAAGGGAGGGCGCCTCGGGCGTCCCTGCCGTCTCCGCCTCGGCCTCGGCCTCGGCCTTAAGGTGCCCAGGCAGGTGCAAAGCATTTGTGCAATGTGAATTTCATCAAAACCGTCTTCCCTTTGGCAGCTGTCTGTGATGTGCGATGGAGGACGAAGCATCACATCCTATCGTATCTCATGGCATGCAACCAGTACGTGTCAGCAGGACCGGGGGCCCGTCGGGTCTTCATGTCACTGGAACACTCATGTAACACTGGCACTGGCACAAAGGTGTTCACGGCTTCACGGCACAATGTGCCTGTTCGAAGCCCGGTTGGCATGTCTGGCAGACAACAAGTTCAAGAACCAGAAGATACCAGTAGCGGGCTTAGCTTCTGGGGGCTTCTGCGGGCTCAGCCGGCGCCAAAATGCTTCTGCACTCTTCGGAAGACTCTTTTCGGACTTCGACCCCTGGGTTGCCGAGGCTGCGGCATCGAGCATGCTGGCAATCAGATCCTGGGCAGCCTGCCAACATGGGGAGAAAGGAGTGCTTTGGAATCATGAAGCCCGACATGGACACTGTATTACATTCTACATCCTGCCCTATGTACTTCCCGTGAGCCCCCGTGGATCCGGAAGCCAGCTCCGGGCTCCCAAAGCTACGCTTTCCGCTTTCTCGCTCCGCCTCACGCTTTCGCTTCCTCTCTGCTTCGATGGCAGCGGCTTGCCTTTGAGCCGTCACCAAGTCCTTCAGAGCAAGGATCTCTGTACATCACCGACCACGACCATTCGTGCCGGAGCAGAGGCGACGCCTTCTTTGCCTGCTCCTCTGCCTCCTTCCTCTTTCGCTCCCGCTCCCGCTCGCGCTCCTCGAGCTCAGGAGAGTAAAACCCCGATCAAGTCTGGGAGGCTGCCATGGCCTTCTCCTTGGCCTCTTCCTCGGCGATGCGGCGCTGCTCCTTTAGACCCAAGGCGGTTTTGGCGACACTTCTTCCGCTGGCCCCTGCCTCCATGGAGTCCATGGCCTCCTTCCCAGCTTTCACCTTCTCGAGGTCATCGATGATGGCCTACTACCAGACAACTCGCGACTCGTCGCCGCATCCTGGCACTGCCTGCGGCTCTGCGCTTTGTTGGGGCCCCCACCAACGCGTCCACGCCCCGGTACTTGTCGACGAGCCTGCGAGACCGAGAGCCGAGGAGCCGCCCACTCAAGGGCGCCTTCTGTGCCCCGGGCTCGTCGACGGCCGTGCGCGGGCCCTCGAGGGCCAACACTTCGTCGGGCGCCTTCAAGGCCTAGGCTTCGGCAAACAGGGAGAAGGCGCCCCCTGTCAGACTTGCATTGGCCCAGCGGCGTAGAGGCGGTCAGATCTCATGGCGTCCTCGCAGGACAGCCAGCAAGCAGCGCAAGCTGCGCAAGAGGCTTTGGTCTTTGGTGGTTTCGCATGTCCGCGCCTTGCTGCCGGTGGCGGTGGTCACCACACAGGCCTTGCAGCGGCCGTCGGCCGTGGGGAGGGGCGCACCGCGCTCGCACACGGAAGGGGGAGACCCGTGGCCTGGTGGGCCTGGATCGTCGCCGCGTTCTTCTTGCGGTCGCGGCCTGTGGAAAACAAAATTTGCTCCGTTTCGGCTCTCGGCTCTCGGCTCTCGGCTCTCGGCTCTCGGCCCCGAACAGGCGAGGCACTCGGAATGGCTCTGGTGGACGATGGCATGGCACTCGGGGCAGTTCCTCCGAACTCTCCGCTCTCTCGCCGTGGCACCCGAAACTTTCTGCAAGCGAGCCGCTTCTGCCCGTTGCCTGGGCCCAGAACACGGGCTCTCAAGGGCAAGGGCGAGGCTCTCACGCTGATGCCATGACTGAAAAGAGTGCAAGACAGGATAGGATGTCCATGCATGCGCGGCGATAACGAGAGCAGATCACTTGGTGTCCCAGCAAAACATCTTCTGCGAGGCCAAGGGGTAGAAGTCGTGGGCCCGCTCACCTCAGAAGGCGATTCTGTCAAGGGGCCCGCGCCTGCCTTTCTCGAGAGCTCTTCGCCGGATTCTTCCGTGTGGGTTGAGCCTGCACTTTCCTCTCCTAACCCAGAGGGTCCATGTACACTACCATCATGGAATTAGGTCCCAAAAGACCATCCTTATTATGGCTTTAGGGACCTAGTTCCATAATAGTAGATATGGACCCTCTTGGTAACACCGAAAAAAACCTCGGACCCTTGGGTCTGGCTGTAACTTCGCCCCTGTGCCTCTACCTGCCATGTTCGATACAGACATCTGCCTACCTGCCTACCTACCTACCTACCTGCCTACCTGCCGACAAACCGACCTACTGACCTACCTACCCAGCTATATTACATAACTCGTAGAGAGAGATGATAATTAATAATGTTGAACCATCTACGCCAGCTAGCAATGAGGAGACTCGCCATGGGAGATGTTGCCACATCCGTGGACATCAGATGTCTTGCTGCAGGGCACTGCAATTGCTTGCTCTGTGTAAGGGCTGCTCCCGGGTCCTTCTGAGCCTCAAAAAAGGAGCCCCCTTGTTAGAACCCTAAACCCTAAACCCCTAAACTAGGCCCTAAACCCCTAAACCCCTTAACCCCTTAACCCTAAAGCCCCCCTGGTCTTGGCCCTGTCTTCGCTCCGAGGAGCCCATGGTGTTGATGGTGGGCTTCGGGTGGTTGCCTGAGCTCACGGGGGGCGTGGAGAAAGAAGGCATCGCCTAAAAAGGGAAGCTGAGGCTCAGGACAGGTGGCACACATCATGTTCTTGCCCAGGTTCCAGTTCCTGGCACTTAAAGTTCCTGACTCTTCATGGTCCCTACTTCCTACTTCTTGAAACTCCCCCCCACTTGCAGGACTTTGGGCCTGCAACCTGGGCAAACCCAGTCCGAGGACTTCCATGAGCGCGGCATGGCCAGCGTCCGCAGCCAGCCGCCGTGGACGAAACCGTCTTCCTACTACTAC